TTATTTTATGTTTTATATTATAAAGTAATTAATTTATTCTTTTGTTTTTATTTTTTGTTAATTCTTTTTAATAAAAACTTTATTTGAAATATTAAATAGAAATTATTAATGAAATAATTTATATTAATATACTGTATTATATTAATATAATATACTAATATATTATATTATTAATGTACATTAGTCGACATCCTGTCAACATAATAGGAAAAACTGTCTTTTTTTTTGGTTATTTGGACCGATTTGGTCAACATTTATGAAATATAGGAAATGTCGACCGAAATAATGTAATTTTTATATTACCATCCATTTCCATGTCGGTGAGCCTCGACATCGACATATGTCGGGTGACATTAGCGAAATGTCATGACATTTGAAACCATGCTTTTAGGGCATCCACTTTTCAATGTATCATCCTAATGAGAATTGGTATACCATTGAAGTCTAGATGGTAATGTAGGGCAGGATAGGGGTCATACAAATTTCAGATCTGGTGAGGGCTTTGTGTGGTGAAGCAAGTAAACAGCTTTCTTTCCACCAAAGAATAAGTGAGAAAATAGAAGGGGAAAGAACTCTTGTTGTTACAGTAATCAGCAAGCAGATAGATTGCTTAAAAGAAGTGGGAGAATGGAGAAAAAAGAGAATTTTTCATAGCAATAACCAGAATTTATCAAACCATACTCTATTTCATCTAATCAATCCTTTTGTAATTGTAATTATAACGACTCTATTTATAGATTCAACTTATGAACTTGGATGCCCCATTACAAACTCCAATTTGGATTAAGAAACTGACCCAAATCAACTTCTAATTGCTTTAAAACTAAGACAAACCCATCAGTATCCCATATGGACTCTGAAATGAGGACTCTAACTCTGGTTAAATTCTTTGTAGGATCTACTTTTTAAGGATCTTATTGAAACTGCTTGGTCTAGAATCTCTCTAGATGAGGAGGTTAAATGGATTTCTTTTGGTATAAGTTGAAAGGGATTTTAAATTAATAAGGGCGTACTAGCCTTTGGCTGGGGTTGTGTGATTGCAAGAGCTTAGCCTATTATTAGTAGGGTAAGTAAACTGAATTGACAATAGTTTCTGCGATTGCAAGGACTTACTGTATTATTAATAGGATAAGTAAACAGAATTGACTATAGTTTCCTTTGCAGAAAATTTGTGTCAAAATGTTTCTGTTGAACAGGTGATTCTCAGGTTGCAAAGGCAAAGGTAGAAACATGAAAGGAAGGAGGAAGGTGTAGAAAAAATAGTGGCATATCGCTACCAATGATATGATTGCTAATTGGATTATCAGGTGTTTTCCTATGCCTTCCTTTTCTTATAAGGGAATTATTTTCTGTATAGATAGTGAAACATTTGGTTTTTTGTATTGAGAACCAACACGGGTTGATCATGAAATTGAAAATGGCTCTTCCAAGTGTTTTTACCCCAAAATCCTCTAAATATATTGATAGCTCAAATGGTCCTTGGTCAGAATAAGTTCCTAGATTAATAACATTCCAAACATTCAGTTCTGAGTGATGGCACACTACAACAGATCACCTTTAGCCATTTCTTTATCTTCCATGCATTGTGAATATCTTGAACTCTTCCTAAGCAATTGCATCTTTGACATTCAATCAGAAACAACAGGTCATCATAAAGAAGAAATGTAACATCACTGCTCAAAGGTAAGAGTACATACTTGTAACCATTGCAGGCAACACGGTATGCAAAATCCCTCGTAGATGAGTCCTCGAAACCATAAACATCGGACAAGAGAAGTATGCCGTTTCCATTATTATTCTTCACTGCCTTGAGAAGATAAGCACGGACGCTGTCTGCACCCTCACCTAAGATAAGCTCCACCCCATTAACCAATTCACAGGATTCATCATCTATCCCGTTTTCTAGTTTCACTTGACTACTGCAGTACACTCTGTAGGTCAAACCCTTTATATAATAAGAGCATCTCCGTTGTCTGTTTTTGCATTTTCTCTGGACAAGAACTGAAGCGTTACAGTCAAAAGCTGCAACTTTTACAACAAAACCAAAGATACGACCTAAAAAACTACTGTTGGGATGTTTGAGCATCAAACAAACTTGACTTAAAGCAAAACTTGTGTATGAATAAAAGCCTCAGCCACATAACCACAACATCTAACCCAGCAAATGCAATCTACCAAAAGGCTTTCTTGTGTATTCTTTGAAGTGGCTGAAGAGACGCCACTTCCAGTACAGTGTTTAAGAAATGTAACAAACAAAAGTAACGAAATCGATAATAAGAATACGTTACATACAGAAGGGAAGCAGCGAGGGCGAGGCAGAGCAGCAGATGACAGGAAGTGCCGACGAGGAGGAATCTTTATTGGAGCAGCAAAGGGAAAGGAAAGGGCGGACACCGACCTCATCTCCCCCACACGGACTGAGAGAATCAGAGAAGTAGGCAGAGGACGTAGATATTTGCTGATTTTCGTTTTTGTTTATAATTTTCACGCTTTGATGCTTCGTCATTTTAACGGTTGAGAATCACCGGGTATTCGGATGCTCTACCACTTTGGCGCGAAACCCAAACACTCTATGCCAAAGTGAGGAACAAAATTTGCGCTAACACCGTTCTCATAGCCCTTTCCGGGTGTCCATGAACAACCGAAAAACTAGACCGAACCGAAAAAAAACCAAAAAACCGAAAAATTAGACCGAACTGAAAAATGCAGTTAATCAAATCGATCGGTATATATATTTATATGTATTTTATATATATATATATTTTTAATATATGTCACATATTTTTTATATATTATATATTTTTTGTAATATTTATAATATATTATATATCATTTATTATTTATAATATAATATTATACATATATTTATATAATATATATTATAAATATAAAAAACCAAAACCGATGGGCCAGTTAACTGATGGTATTGGTTCAGTTTCAGTTTGAAGAAAAGGAAAAACCGGTGGTACTGGTTCGGTTTGCAAAAGTTGTTAACCAAACCGTAGACACCCCTACTTTTCAGCACAATTGAAAAGTGTTGTGTGAACGGTATGAGTATAAGATGATCGAAGATTTTTTTCTAATGTTTCGTATCATCGTCTAATCATGTTATATTTCATTTACAAATGCACCGTGACATGTTAGGGTGTTAGGTTAGCCCGTAATTGTGGATCGATCCACACCACAAGCCAATTTTTCATCCACGAGTTTTAGTCCATTGTACCAAACTGTAAACGGCGCGACCTGATTTTTACCTCTACACGCAATATGTTCGGACTTCGTGGGTGACAGCAAGTCGAGAGGCCGGAGGAGTTGGACCATTAGGCTAGAAGCCGAGCGAAGTGAGGACTCCGTAAGGGTGAATTTGTTTGAATAATTATGAAGAGTAATTATCAAAAGAGGGCAATTTAGGGATTTAGAATTCTTGTAACAGAAAAATAAGAATCTGTTTCGATGATAACTGACGGAACGTTAATGGAGGGGTCTTTGTGTAACTGCTAAAGGTAGAAGGGTCCTGGTGGTCATTGTCACTGACCCCGGGGGGCCTTTGACCGAGGAACGGAGGAAGTCTTTCAACTTCTCAGCTAGTAGGACGAACGAAGTCTGTCGTCTCCTCTTTCCTTGTTGTCTTCTGCTTCTTTGTTTCTTTCATATTTCAATAGGCATTTCTCTTTTGGAAAGCATGCAATTTTGAGCTCTTCTATTTAATGGCGTCAACGATCTTATCCTGAAGGAGTTCCTGATGTAAAGAACTTCGTGAATTTGTTAGTGATATAATTTTGTGTTTTTATCTGTCAAAAAAAACGATCTTTCACTGTCGGTGGATTTTTGATCGAGAATATTAAAGGTAAACTCTTGTTCATCATTATTAATGCCTGCTGGACTTCTGGTATTTGAATTTTATCAGGGGCTTGAATTTTGTTTGTTTTCTTTTTCTGCTTTTTTCATCGAGTAAAGAATCTGACTGGAGAAATCTGTTAGGCTTGCGTTAACTTCATTATCCGTACACTTATTCTGGAATATGCTGTTTTCTTTTAGTATCTTTTGACAGATAGGGAGAGGAATTTGTTGGGTTTTCGTTGATTTTTGAAATCTATTGTTCTTGGAGAAAAACGAATCTGTCGTGAGTATTTTGGGATTTTTTTTTTCGCTTTTGAGGTTTTGTATTTGTATGAACCCTAGACAAAAAAGTTGGAAGTTATTCCTGATTTTGAGTATGTATTATTTGAAGGTCTTTGATATCGTTGCAGATGAATTAATTGAATTCTTTTTGACGTCTATGTCACTGCTTGAAAACTCTATCAGGTTTATCTTTTTCTACCCTAAAACATGCCAGAAATTTTGAAACAGGGATTGGTTGTTGGGCGTCATTCTTGAGGATTTGGTATCAATTCCATGATTGTTTCTGATGATGATTCCAAGGTCTCTTCGTGAGCAGCAGTCAATTTAGATTGCCGAAGTTTGTTTTGGGGAGATAAGTTGGTTTTAAAATTCAATGAGTTCTATTCAGAAAACTGTTTATTACTTCTGTGTGGCCAAGGGAAACCGAATACTCTATTCCTACAGTTGTGGTGACCGTGAGATCGACTGTTTAGCTGCTCTGTGTTTGGATAGAACTCCTCCCTTCCACTCTAGGTATTTTCAGACCATGGCTAAAAGGACATTTGGGTTCTTGATGGAGGATGAACATGTTTACTTTACAATAGTGGATGAGGGTCTCAAGAATTCAGGTGCTCTTCAGTTCTTAGAACACATCAGGGATGAGTTTAAGAAGGTTGCAAGGAAGGGTTCAAGGAGTAGTTTTTCTGGTTTGAACTCTGTCTGCCTACAAGAACAGCTTGTGCCAGTTATCCATCGCTTGATATCCTCATTGGAGCATGTTTCTCAATCAAAACCATTGAAGCATGTATCTCAATGTGATGGTGGATGGATTTCTGAGGTTCTCCCATCCCATCATCATCTTAGCATTCCACCTTCTCCAGGATGCAGTGGTAATACCCAAATTGAAATTGCCACTCATAAGGCCCCCCTGCTTGGGAAGTCTAGCAAGCAAGAGAGGAAAATGAAGGATCGTGTAGTCGACATTCGAGACAACTGTCCTGAGGAGCACCGGAGGTCAATGGATAGGGGAATTAAGGGTAGTATGACAACCACTGAATCTACTCATCAAGGCAAGGCGGTCTCTGCAATCTCGTTGCAGAAGAATTCAAGCTCAATGAGAATTAGAACAGGTCCACAGCATCCTGAAAGGCGGTGGTGCCGCAAAGTCTTGATTGTAATTGTGGTTGATGCAGTTGTATGCTTTGTTTTATTCATCGTTTGGTTAAGCATTTGTGGTGGTTTCCGTTGCATTTCCAAGTGAGAGCTCTCTTAAACTTGGGTTCCTATTCGATCATGAAATTGGAACTGCTACAGCCAGAATGTATTTATCAAATAGCTTCAGATTTCTGTGAAGAAATGAATCATCAATCTTTCAGTGGATTTCTTATAAAAGTGATGGAAATGCTTATATTTGAGGTATGAACTTCAACCCAATAGCTAGGTGTTAACATTCTTGTAACTTTCTTTGTATAGTTATCCCATGGATTCAGTGCATATAAATTTTGAGATGAAAATCATGGTTTTGTGCCTATAATGCTATGCAATTGCTATGAAATTCGGTGTTCTTTTTTCCCTTGGTTTTGACATTTTACAATTTTGAGCTATTCATCGGAAATCTATTTATGGATCTTCATGAGTTTCAGTACAAAGAAGTAAGTCCTCACCAAAATAGACAATAAGAGCAATGAAAATAATAATTCGAATTACGCAAAGACGCTGATTTAGCAAAGAGTTAAGGATCAAAGTACAAGTATCGGGTATCGTATTCGACAAGTTGGATACGGATATGGATACGAATACGTTTTGGAAATGCATGGATATGAACAAAAATATAGAAACACTTGGATACAGTAGGGAAATGCATACAAATCACAGAGAAATGCATGCTTCAATAGGTTATATGAATAGAAACATTACAATAAACAATACCGGGACTCTAGAACATTCATACATCATACAATGATTATCACTCTTTCAATTTTTACAATTATAATTTTTAATTTTTACTATTTTTTTGGAATAATTATTAATTTAGTATTTTTATATAAATAAAAACTCTTTTTTAAATAATAAACATGTTTTCATTTTTAACATATAATGCTTTTATTTTACATATAATTGTAAAATAAAACATATAAATCATTTAAGGTAGATAAAATAAATTATTTATATTTTTCAGTTTTTATTAATTTTTTTGGGGAAATTATATCTTAAATTATTTACTTCAATTTTTATAATTATACTTTCTGTTTTTCATTAATTTTGTTGGGAAATTTTATTTATTTATTTAGTACTTTTATATAGTAACTCTATTTTTTCAAATAATAACTATGTTTTCATTTTTTTAACATATAATTATGTGTAAAATAAAATATATAAATCGTCTAAGGTAGATGAAATATTTTTATAATTTTTAGTTTTTATTAATTTTTTTTAGAAAATTTAAATATTAAATTATTTATTTCAGTTTTTATAATTGTATTTTTTAATTTTTATTAAAGATGAAAAATAATCCAAATGTAATCAATACACAATTTTGTCAAACTAGGCATGGATATGCCTCTGTATCGATATGCATATCAGATCGTATCCATCAATATTCGATACAACATGATACAGCCCAATACGGAGGCATATCGTGCCGATACACATGACTCATGGGATATATATCTAGTTGTCATGTATCATGTATCCATGATATGATACGCTCGTATCGATATTTTAATGCTTGCAAAGAATATTTCGAATTGCCGATCATCTCGCAAGATGGCAAAAAAGAACAAAGAACTATTCCACGAGACAAGGAAGCATTTGCGACCTGCCTCACGAAGCAACATAAGGCGAGATCTGCGAATCATTTCACTGGATCATAATCTGTCCTGCGAGTACAATTTAGCGAGTCACTATGCCAAGGATGCATTGCAAGGTAAAACACACCACAAACCGTCGTGCAAGGAGACATGAGACCAAATTCCGTCACCGAATCATGATACGTCTCGTAACAATCGTCTCACTAATAACCAAATCGTGCCCCGCGAGGAACCACTCCGTGAAAATACTCCTCGTGTGGATAAAATGACATGCCTCATGGAGCACGAGACAAAGTAGACAAAAAAAAGAGTACGATAAAGATGGTCGTCATATGTGGGGCTGATGCCCCAGGGAAACCGTGACTAGTTAGTCTCGTATCGACATGTGTTCGCTTCTTGATAAGGTCTGAGAATGTATTCTAACCACTAAGGATTATGATATCGATATGATACTCTTGAAATGGGGCATATCGTATTTGTATCTATGGTCATGGATATGGGATATGCCATGAGCCCATGACTAGATATGTATTCCATGAGTTGTGTATCAGTACGATATGTCTTTCTACCTGGTTGTATCATACTATGTCGATGGATATGATCTGATATGCATTGGTATGAAGACATATATGTGCCTAGTTTGACAAAATTATTGATTACATTTGGATCATTTTTCATTTTTAATAAAAATTAAAAAATATAATTATAAAAACTGAAATAATTAATTTAATATTTAAATATTTTTAATAGTGTATTTAGGAAATGCACCCGGCCTACCGGATAGGGATAGAGAATGTTGAGCTCGAGACATTTATCCAACTATGGAAGTGTGTTGAAAGGACCGCAAGGACCGTCACTGCACCTAGGTCATAGCAGGCCAGCCTTAGGTTGACATACCAACGACAAGAAACATACACCGTTGATCGCAAGCCACGGAATACCATAGGACTTGGTCGCGCCCCATACTTTCAGCCTGATAACCAAGGACAACTGGTTGGTGGTTCGCTACCACCCCCTCTGCCATTTGGTTGTAACAAGAACGAAGTGATCATGATCATGAACAAGCTAGTGGAGTATTAGGTCATCAACCTGCCCCCGATGCTCACTAGTGTGAACCCTGAGAAAGACTGAAACGAACCAAGATGGTGTGATTACCACTAGTCACCGCACCACAACTTCATGGATTGCTTCACCCTACGACGCTTGTTTGTCCAAAAGGTCAAGTTGAACGACTTCGGAAGCCTACACAGGTCGATACCAACCCCTTACCAACACACCAACAAGGAGGGAGCATGAATATGGTGAGTGCAATGAACTGTAACAGCATCGCTACAGACATGTTGGCATGATGGTTCGAGCAAAGTAAAGAACATCAACACTTCTTCAGCAAGCAGGGATCAAGTGGCGTGACACGGAGGATCGTTATATGAGCACTAGTCGAGGCGTTCAAACGACCCTTGGAACCTCATCGCATGAGCAACCTGAACGTTGAGTTTATGGTAGAGGGCAAGCTGGCCAGTGACCCCCTAGCATAATCGACCCCTGTACATAACAACAAAGATAGGAGGCTACGAGATGACGCGATCATTGGTGGACCAGGGAAGTTCCATAAAGCTAATATCTACTTACACCCTAAAACTGATGAAGATAGAAGAAGAGGATAGTAATAACCTACCCATGGAAGTCATGAACTTCAATGGGAAGGTATCCGCCACCAAGGGATCCCTCATGCATCTTCTCGCCATCAGCACGTTCCTCATAGAGTAGGAGTTTCAAATAATCTCAGGACAGACAATCTACCATGCCCTTCTTAGGCGACCACTGATGCACGCCTTGGCACTAGTGCCATCCACTTACCACCAGTGCATTAAGGCAAAATGCAAAAGAAGAAGGGTCTAGATCCCAGCCACTAGTCTTGTTCGATAGGTCAGAAACGCACCTACAAGACGCGATCTACTACGTTGACCTGGTTGAGGATGGTGAGACAAGTGGCAAAGGTTGAAGGGGGGGGACTCCGAAGAGGCAAAGGCCAGCACATCAACTACGAAAAGGAGGAAACATCAATGAGGTGACCGAATGACAGATAGGGAAGGAAGAGTTAATACACGACTGTGGAAAAGGATAAGGAGGATGAGGTCCCCATTGCAAAGAAAGTGACGTCGGAGGTATGAGATTTTTTTTAGAATGAATTATCATAACTGATGTTACAAATAGAATGCATGGAGCATAATGAAATCTTTCCTTTTTGATAAATATTTTTGCTCAAAAAAATATAGCTGAACTCATGGTGCCCTCATCACAACTCCATAATGAACAAAACAATGTGGGTGATATCGCGATTCTCTCATCGCATCCAGAAAATGTAGCATTCTAAACACAACTAGCAATGAACAAGGTACATAACCCATCACATAATAAAACTAAGATGTCAAAGGACAAAAAGTGATAATGAGAGAATACTTAACAAGAGGGACCTAGAGATGTTATCGAATACTACGATGAGGTCCATTCACCACCTAAACACTTGCAAGATTCTAATGATGTGATGGAAGAACCGTTGGAGGAAATCAACCTAGCCGCACAACAAACAGATAAAAGACCCCTATACATCTCCACTAGGCTGCATCATGATGATAGGACAAAATTGATCAAACTACTTAAAGGTACATTTCCCCTCTCTTTTGTTGAATTAGATACTCAACTAGGCACCACACTCACTTCTTCCATCAGAGAGAGTGCATCCCTGATCATTACCTTTGTCCGACAAAGGGTCTGATCCTGTCACTATGATCACCCACTCAGATGAATTCTCAGACTGTCCCAACATACCCAAGCTTTGACCCCCGCTAAGGATCTCACTGATTGGCACATCAAAGATAATCCAATCCAACACCTAGTGCAGTATCATAATCGAGTCTAGGGGCCGGGTGTAACTTTCTAGTTTTGCCCATTAATCTCCAAGGTCTAAGACAATACTGAAAATCTGGTCTGGTTCAAAGATTCAATTAATCCTACACTGCATGTGCCTTGGGTCTCACCCTGGCGACTGAGACAGGCCACCCCAACCGACTTGGTGGCACATCAGTGTTAGCCTTATCAGGATAGGTCTCCCCAGACCGACCCATTGGCTGTGAACATTCTAAACTAACACGAATCTCATTAAGTGTCCAGTTTAAGGGTATTACACAAAAACACACCAAAGGAACATGAATCAAATATGTACTTTATTCATTTACAATAAACTCATAATGTACATCATTCTGATTAAAGGTAAGGGCATACAAAAACCGTCTAACACAAGGAAGTGGCGATAGTGTTAAGGGAGACCCACGAGGTTTATTGCGGAGACATCACCACCTCCCTCTATTGGAGACTACAACGCCTAAGTTACCACTAGCCTGAGATGAAGAGTGTTGTAGCCAAGTTGCAGCATGACTGTAAGAGATGCATCCCACAGTCAAACAAGAAGGAGTGTCTCGCAGTAGGTGAAGCGGATTGGAGGGAAGCCTATATTGTGTATTTAAGAGACAAAACAAAAGCCATAGAAGCCATATCAAGAAAAAGACTCTTGTCCAAGATAAAGAGGTTCTATTTGCAAGAGGGATTGTTGTGTAAGAACTCGTACACGAGGCAACCTTTGTGGTGCATTGCAGGGGATGAAATAGAGGAAGTCCTAGATGCAGCCCATAGTTTTAAGCCTGCCACCCACCAAGGACAGATAGCCCTATACAACCACATTTGACACTTAGGCTTTTACTAGC